TATGATAAGCAAAGAGGTGGCACAATAAATTCTTGGCAGAAATAATTTTTAAAAAGTTTTTGGTTAAAATTTCGACTTTTCATTAGGAGAATATGATATGCAAAGAGGTGGCACAACAATGTCTTGGCAGAAATCATTGCTGGATAGTTTTCGTCCAGATTTTTCTTACTTTTCTTGACATTTAGTTCTTGGAATTTATGAAATTCTTAGAAATGACATCAAATTCTTAAAATTTTCGAAATTTTTGATTAAATGAAATACTTAGCTATATATTAGCTTGTTTTTAATTCTCTTTCTTTTTGTTTTTTATTACTTTTTCAATAGTTTTCTAATTTTTAAGTATACTTACCTTTGCATAGTTATTTTATATCTTTATTTTTATATCTTACTAATAAGAATAAAAGTATAGTTTCAAATAAATATATTATAATTTATGATATTAATTAGTATTATAGAAAGTGTAGAAGTATTTTCTAATATTTAAAATTATGATATTCTAAGGAATTGTGATAGGATGGAATGGGAAATATAAAATGAAACAAAATATTCATAGAAAATTACATTTATTAATAAAAAGATACATAAATTTATATTTGTTCTATAAAATTTACAATTTTACTGTGTACAATTTTATTTTATAAGAAAATAAAATTTATCATTTATAAAATTTATAAAATGATAAATTTATAAAATGATAAATTTTATTTTACATGAATATAAACAAATGTTACTAATGCTTAATATAAAATAGGAATTTATTTTTCATGAAATTAATATATACATTATATTGTATTTCATCCCCGGCAGTTCTTGGAAATCCTTGGAATTTTCAGTTATCTTGGAATACATTGAAATAAAATTCTTGACCGATTTGTGGATTTTCTATAAAAAGAATATAGTCAATTAAATTTTTATGAGATATTGAAAAATATAGATTTTTCTATACACTTAGCTGTATTTATCTGTATACTTACGTTATGTAATTGCCATTTTATTTTTGTGCATTATTTTTTTTAACAGTTTTCTTAATCCTATATACTCATCTCTTTCATATTTATTTTCTGTAATAAAAAATGTAATAGCTCACTCAATATAAAAGCTTAGTATAAAACAAGTTTTGAACGACTGAAGTTATAATGACAGTGATGTGAGCCTCGCATTTACCATCTATCTGTTTTCCCATTGTATGTATCTACAAAAAAAAAAATCTTTTTAAGAGACTCTATTCAAATTTATAAAGAAATATATATTATTTCTTCAAACTCACCTTTTTATGTATTGATTACTCTCCACTCTAGTGTTTTTGATACTGATTCTCATAAATGCACACATATAATCATAATTCCAATCAGCAAAAAATATTTTGCGAATAACTCGAAAACTGTAGCCAATCATGAATTATATTTAAAAGAAAAAATTGTTGAAAATAACTTTTAACAATATATTTTTAACAATATATTTCCATTTTATTACAATCAATGAGAAAGAATAAAGTAAAAAACTTTTTTTTTTTTTCATAAAACTCGAAATAAAAAAAAGTCGAAAGAAATTCGAAACAAAAAGTTTCGTTTCACGCTTCGAAGAAGGAAAGTGTTATTCCTTTCGATTATTTTTCCAGTTCATAAATCACAATCATATTTCGCTCACGAATCCAAGTAAACCTCGTTACGAACTATAAACTTCCGCATGCGGCTTTTGATGTAACGTGGCGATGTGTACACGCCAATGGAGGTCTACGAGTGAAATCATTCGTTGGATCGAGTTTTATTAATGGATGGGCGGCGATCTCGATCGGTAAAGCTATGACAACCCCGTCAACCTTCGAAAGATTAATGTCGCTTGTGCATTGCGTGAGATGTGCTCCCCCTCCCCCTCCCCCTCTT